CCTGATTAGAAAATTATCTTTCTAGTCTAGCTCGAGTATCTCTTCATTGAGAAAATTCCGGCAACCGGAAAATTCTCGAAACACCCGATAATACCTATACCTATACCTACCACAATAGATAACCAAGTAGTAATCATAAACTCTTCAAGTTGCTTCATAACTTAATTGTTGTGTATTTAGGCAAGCAAAAGAGAAGCATTAATTTTACGAAGACATTAAAGCTTGACTATGATGTTTAAGTTTTGTGTACATGTGTGGACATCTATCAAGATGGACTCAGAGAAAAAAATATATATATCAAGAAAAAAAACAAAATAAATGACATATCCTCAACCAATGGCATCTCATATCGTGCACATATACATTACTAAATATAATTAGCTGCTCTTTTTGGCTGAAATTAATGTAGAGAAAATTTGAACTCAATTGTGCACAATATATGACTCCAAACAATCTAATTTCGTCAAAGCCATTTTTATTAGCTTCAAAATTAATATGAAATCATAACTATTATAGTGGAACATATTAATACATCCACTTGGAGGTTAAAATATAAACAGCAAGAGAGCCAACAATAGCATGTATTTTCCCAAATATTTATTCATAGTATATAAAACAAACTCTCAAGCATATATTCCAAACAGACTCAAAAACAATTCAAATAGCAATCAAAACTTGTTTACACTTAATTTCCATAAAATACTATATTCCACATTTAGAATAAAAGACTTTCGTAAATAACCTGATCTCACCCAATCCATATACTTTAATAATAATAATAATAATAATAATAATAATAATACTACTAAATAATGATAAATAATAACCCTTAGAGATCCCATATCCTCATTAACCCATATTAAATAAATTTTCAATCAAAACTCATTATGCAAGAAATTCCATATTAAAAGAACGAAGTACACTTAAAAATAAACGTCCACTCATTTACTAATAATCATAGCCGAGACCCAAGACTCACTTTCACAACCCATCGATCAAGTATCTCATGCTCATCTATTCTATAACTTCAATTATCAAATTAATATATAAGAATCCCATAAGATACTATAAAACAATCTTGTAATCCCAACATAATCAGCATAACTCAAATAACAGTTAAGACTCATTAATAAGGTCGTTCTAATACTCCTCGAAGGGTGAAACTACCTCAGAAGACTCACGGTCAACCGAGGGGTCAAACTGCCCAAACTTGGTCAATTGGGCCTGCGGGGCCCACGACCTCCGATTTCCGATCCAAAAATTCCTACGAGTTCAACAGGGTTTAACATACCTGTCCTGCAAGTTTGTTTTGAATTGAACAGTCGGATCACTCGCGATCACATGATCGGACGGTTATCGTTTAACCTAATCTTTGAATTATTGAACCGAATCATTCGAGGCTTCGATTCACGATTCGCGAATTCCTACACGATCCTAGAGGTTCCTAGATCAACATATATGAAAATGGAGTCGATCCAACGGTCTGAACATATCGAACCCAGATAACGCCTAATATGCGTAATCCGATCGACGGTCAAATGATAACCAAAATAAAATCCGAGCATACCGTCGTGCTTGGGACGACAAGGGGATCATTTTAGGACTAAGTGGATCACCCAAAAAGTGCCCACACGCCGCCATAAGCCCTGGCAGCGCGTGGGTGTCTAGAAAAATTCCGGTGACCGGAAAATCTCCAAAACGCCAGTCAAGACCTCTACCTACATGATCAGGATAATGAGTTGAGCAACTTTTGTTCTTGGACCACAGCCAAAAAGTGACCGAAACTTGCCGAAAACACGAGCCGAAACCAGCCAAACTTTAAGCAATAATTTGAGTTCGAAAACGCAGAAATTGATCCTAATCAACCCAACCATAAGCTTACACATTGAAAGAATGAAAAAGCATGCCTAGATCGAAGAAATTGGTGGCCAAAATCACCGGAATGAACATCAGAATTTTTACGTAAAAACCCGTCGGTTTTTTACTTTTTCCGGCAACATGTGTGGCGGATCGCAGCTGAGAAGGGGTGGGGCTGGAAGAGGAAGTCGAGCTTGACATTTTGGTACCGGTCCCGTCAGGATTTGGTGGTCGGACATGGCGGTTGGAGGCCAAAATTCGGTGGCTGCAAAAATTGGGGGGGAGCTGTCGCGTGATGGGGAGCTCGGGG